GGGGTAAAGCCGGCCGGGGCGTGATGCTGACCACTCACCCCCATCTAGTGCCGAGGTCAAGGAAGAGAGGAGCTATACCTCCTCTCACCCCAAACGCCTACATGGCGTATAGTGGGACAAACTTTACTTTTACTTTTTACAATGGAACAGGATTGTACAGTATGGCCTACCAAATATAATATATGTGTACTGCTCTACTTCTTTTCTTATTATTAGTGAGTTTTGTAAAAGCTGGTAATTTTTGTCCTGCTATTAAGTGAGAAATTATAGGGGAGGATGTCCATATAGAACAGCCAAGAAATTATGAACAGAAAGTTTATTTCTGTAATATGGATTGCTGCTATTACCCACCAGTATATTTACTCTTTTTTTTCCATAACAAATGTAAAGTAATCTTTAAAGTGCACTACACAACAGAAATGGTTGGGAAGCACTGACCTAGAGGATACTACCCAGAAGTCCGAGTTACTTACGCTCACATGCTTTTCACTCACTTATTATCATAACTTTACACAATCAATGTGTAACATGTGCATGCTCTGTTTCTGGGTCCCTTAATCAGGCAAGTATAAAGCTACCTTGCTGTTATATTAAAATATCACTATCTGGCAATATGAAGGGAATACTGACAACACGGATAAGACATTTGGCATTTTTCATGTGCGAGTGAGCATTATAAAAATCAAGGACAGTTCCACTTCTGATATTTTGTGGCCCACATCTGTATTTAATCATATAGGTTAAAAACACTGTTCAATATGAAACAGTGTTCTAATGTCCAGGTTCAGTTATGTTCAAAAATAAATTAATGATAATAAGCAGTAGCAGAGGGTGGGTCTCCAGTTCACTTAAACAAATGTTTTTAATTCAAAGAAAAATTATTTGGTTCACTTCATTACATCCCAATTCAAACAAGGACAATTGGAACCTTGTCTTTTGTACGCTCATGACTGGTTACTGAGTCTACTCAGTTCAGACTCGCTGAATGGAGGAAAGAAGCAGGAATATAACTGTTAGCTCCATCTAATGCCAAGATGGACAAAAGGTGATGCATGATTCATTGACAGTCATGGTCTATCATGGCATTTGCTTTGACAGACTGTGAAAAACAAAATATTACTATGTAAACATTTGACATCTTTTCAGTCACCTATAATTACATAAAAATTTAAATTTTCTATTTTTGCTGATAAAGTTCATAGCATGTGAAATTAATTTCAGTCTGTTTCTTTTGAACGGAATACATATTACTCAAAGTTTCTCTATGATTACGAGTTATGCTATTCCTACGTGAACAACAAACTATTGATATTAATGGTCATAAAAAATAGTTCTTTTCCTTCAAAATTGTTTAAAAACAAAGAATACCCATACATAGTTCTACTGTACTACGGGTAATGTGAAAGTTTCCTGTGTCCCCAAGCACTACACCTGGAAGGAGTACAGGTTTACCAGAAGAAGCCAAAGCCCTGCACACGCATAATCTTGGCACGAGATGGAGATAAGAGATCAGTATCATGCTCTACTTATTCCTGAATTAGATACCTCAGCACCGGCCTAAACACAGCGGTGAAGAGAATATCCACTGCCCCTGCAAAAAGTCATACCAAGGACATTGAAACCATAGCCAACAACTGAGTTAATCCAGCTTGTATTCTATGGATCACTTGAACTCTGTTCCTTGTATTTTCAGCCTAGGGATCACAAGTGGAACAGCCCTGTAATATCATCATTCACTTCAACTACATCACAATTTTTCATGACGTTTCTTCTTGGTACGCTTGCGATAACCCTTTCCATACCAGCCTGGATTTATATTAGGAACTTTACTTATCTTACTGGCATCAGAGCTTCCTTTACCTTCACAACTGTCATGGGTATCACCACCTTCTGATTTGCATGTTTCAAGATCATCATCAGTATCACCATCTTCATCATCTGTATCACAGCATTCACAGATTGAAACTTGAGATCCTAATGTAATATTTTCAAATTTGGAAGTCCACCGAGGATAAAATAGGCATCTATTTGAACTGTAATTTGACTTGCAGAATGAACACATTTTGGTGTCACTAAAATCATATTTATCATCACAGATTTGCTTTTCATCCTTAGTCTTTTCTGTTCCTATAATTTTTTTTGTACTCTGTTGTGAGGATAACTGGGGTAAAAGAGGGAAAGACATAGTACCTTCCATTTCAGTCCTGTTAGTTTTCAAACGTTTACATTGCGTGCTGTCTCTTCTACTTTCAAGTGAATGCACAGATCCTCTAATACCTTTAAATTTTGAATTCCTTTCCTCAGTGCACTGACTGTCCTTGTCCATTCTGCGACTGATAGATTTCTTACTATAGTTATGCTCTATCTGAAGAATTTGAGTCAAAGACTGCAATGACAAAACTGAAATACTGTGGTGCAGAGGTGGTTCATTTGTATACCTAGCTTCTGTAATGGAACTTGTACCTCTCTCACAACCTGCGCTGTTAATACTGCTAAGAGACTGAGAATTACTACCCACTGAAAACCTACACTTCTGAAGGTTCATTGATGTACTACATTGTACAATAATATCTTTAACATGGAGGGAATTTGGATCACATTTACTTTGATCAGAATTTAAAATCTGATCAAAAGAATCTGAATCCATCTTTAGGCCAATCATACTTGTAACACTCTCATTATGTGGAAAATCTGAGCCAAACTTTCTGTCTGTTTCTTTATCCAGAGTGATGTTATCTGACTGGTTCTGAAACCAATTATCACCTACTAATACTGTCATTGTACTGTTCTTTTTCAACTCTTTCTTGAAGCAATTCTCATCCAGTACCTCAGGTGCATTCTCAACACGTCTATCCACAGCACAAACTTCTTGTGTAACTTCGGTGCCCACTCTTACAAAATTAAAATTGCCATGGTTCCTCTTGAGCATGTGTAATTCCTCAGATAAAGGATCTTCCTTCGTACAAACACCAATCTCAGTTTTATGACAACTACCGCTTACTTCACCAGCTTCACACTTCACCCCCCTGAGCAGGAGACTCTCTCCACTGCAACAGCATAAAGCAGTCATCTCACTGTCTCCACAGTTTGGGCATTTTTCTTGCATGACTTCTAGGGGCTGCTTCAGCAATGGCTGCGTAGCTGTATGCGCCTCAGCTGGATCAAGAAATGTAGCATGACTGAATATTGGATCCTTGCTTCGAATGTAGTTAGGAATTTCCAAGTTCATATGGGACATCACCTGTCGCATTACTTCATCACATTTTCCTGGAAAATGACATTAAATTAACCTTCCACTAAATGCATATTTTCATCTTGTAGAGTAATTTATTTAAAAACAAGATGCATTTTGAATATGCACTGTAACAAAAACAATTCGAATGAAAGACAATTTATATTTTGCCGGCTACTATTTATTCTTACAATGAGCAACTTTTTTTAAATTTGGTGTAGTCCAATTTGGACTTCACAAAAAAAGGCGGAGTTATAACTAACCAGAACATGCCAGCAAACAAAATTAAACTCTGAATGCATGTTTAATGTAACTAATAAAACAGAAAGCATGATATGCAATTAGATAATCTTAGGCAGTCAGCTACATCAATATGGAATAAAAATCAGGCATCTATAAGATGGCTTCTGTCTCTTGTCATCAAGAACTGATGGGATATGAGACAGAAATAGTCAACATGTCTATACATGTAGACTTACTGCAGTCCATTCCTCATGGTCAGAAACTAACCAATGGGAGAGACAGGCAGGGTCAAACACGCTGATCTACCTAGGAAGACCTACACATACATATTGGCTATTTCTGTCACACATATCAGTTACTAATAATGGAAAAAAAAGTCTCTTTTGTCTCTCTAAAATGTTGAATTTTTATTCTGTACCAACACAGCTGATTGCCCACGAAGAGTTTGTGGCATTTAGTTACTAAAAAAAAACTTTAGATTTTATATGGCCAACAATTACATGTGTAATTTTTAACAGAGAAAGGGCATCTTCATATTCAAATGCGTAATATCTCTATGTGTGTTTGTACTAACAATGATGATCATTACAATCCTTAAGACTATTAGAGTATATAGTCTGCACAACATTAACACTAAGAAAACAGAATCTTCAAACTTATATAGATTTCTTTGAGCATTTTCTTCCTGTCAGTTGAGATGTTAACATTCAAACATTCAATATCAAATATTTACTATCAACACTACCTACCACTGATCTTCAGAATTGCCTGATCATCTTTTGGTGTCCACTGTAGATTTACAATGTATAATTTAGGCCTCTTTTTTGCTGGTTTATCCATCCCCCACAACCAAGGATATTTCTTCAACACCTGTTTAAACACCATAAAGCATTAAGTTGACTTTTATTTATAAATAAAATGGCATGCCTGCACATTGACAGCGTGCAGAATTACCAATTTAGTTTTTATATATTAATTATTTTCACTTTATAAGGTCTGTGCAACTTATTAATGATAAGTTGGCACAAACTCTTTATACATTTTGTAAATATTCCTGGCACTTTCTTCTTCACATCACACTTTACATTACTGAAACATCTATAAACAATTTTAAACATGTCTCTACCTTTTAACACAAGAGCTAGGCTCAAAAGGAAGTTGGCATGCCAGCTGTCCAGGTCTCAATGTGATAAAACTGATTGCCATATGAATTTATGAATTATTTAAACCAGACCCAACATAAAATCGATTTATGTTCCCAGAGGTAATCTTATATACTAAAAGGGAAAACAGCACAAGTCTTATATGAAACCTGTGAAGTTTTTGAAATGAGGATTTAATGTTGACTCCATGTCTAATGAGAAAGTTTACAGTATATATTAAATGTAAATTAGAAGTCCAAAAGAACCATTTTACATATAATGCACCACTGTCAGAAACCTTCAAACTTCGACTACATGTACAGTGCTTTAATCAGTTTTGTTTCATACCAACAGATAAAATCTACGTTCTCTGCGAAATACTTACACGCACACTGCACCTTACCATGGAATTAGCAATTTCTAAGATTTTATCTGTGAAATGTGAAAGCAGACATGCAGAACATACCTTAAGACTGGAGCCAATGCACAGAATCACATCAGCTTTGTCTGCTACCTGACAAGCCATAGACCAATTCAGAGGCCAATGCAATTTTCCACGTTCTCCAAAGTGTACAATTGTGTCTACTAAAGGGCCCAGGCACGAATAACAGCGTCGCATTGTGCGATGACTGAATCGGGCTGTGTGCTCCGTCACATCAAAGAGACGCCAATACTCGCGGGTAGGCTTACACTGGCAGCACACCTGGGAAACAGATGTAACACACACAGTTCAAACTTTCTGTGCAATAATAATGCCTAATTTTAAAATAACTTATGGTCCATTTATTTGTCATTCTGTAATCTGCATAAAACTAATGACACAGAATGTTGTATGTACACACAAGTACATATACAAATAGATTTTTTAAATGTACAATCATCATGATGTATCATAATACAATAACTTGCCCAATGTGCCCATATAGGTGTACTTTACATGCATTCAAAATGCCTGACAGCTG